GAGCTAACATGAACCAGACGTGGTTTGGCCTTTCACCACTGATAATTGCCATATCACAGGCAACTATAGCATATTCATCTACGGGTTTAAAGTCAATGCCCAAGACTACTTTACTTATAAAGCTTCTATTAGACAATGGCGCAGATCCATCACAAGGTTTACCATTAGAACAATTTAATACTTTGAGGAAATTAAAGGCTAAGCAATATATGAGAAGGATGAGTCTTTTAAATTCATTCAAGTTTGATGATGTTCCAAGTGAATCGGAAAGAATGGATTCTGTTCCTCATCAGTATAGTAGCGTAGCTTGGAGTTCGAAACAAAAAAAAGAGGAAATGGAAAAATTTTCAAAAGGAAAGTGGGTATTTCCAATAGATATTGCTGCGGTTGCTGGTAATCTTGATATTGTGAGAATGTTGTTATCAAGGTTCGTTATTATAAAGTTGTCCTGACTTATCTCGTATGAAAATTATTTCTTATTTAATTTTTCAATTATAGGTTGGAGGCGTCAAGTGTTTCCAGTAGTTCTTTTTGCCTTTCTGTTCAACGGGATGTAATGCTCACCCTTGAACTTGCTCATTCCGGTGCAAATGTAAATCAACGAGATATTAGGTTGGTTACTTTACATATTAATTAAAATAATTTCCGCATACTTATTTACATATTTCATATTTTTCATATTTTTTATATTTTTCATATTTTTTATATTTTTCATATTTTTCATATTTTTCATATTTTTCATATTTTTCATATTTTTCATATTGTTCATATTTTAGAGGAAATATGCCAATACATATTGCAGCGCGTACTGGGTATGTAGATATGGTGGTTATACTATTACAATTAGGAACAAATGTTAATGCAAAAGGCGAAAATGATTGGTAAGATACTTTTATTTTTTAATTTTTATCGATGTTCATAACTTTGTTTAATATATGATTATGGAAATTACAGGACTCCACTTCATGAAGCGATGAGTCAAAAATACCTTAACATATGTTCCATTTTGATTACTGCAGGCGCAGGTAAATTAATTAGCTGTTATAAAAATTTTTTTTTCTAATCTTAGAAAGATCAAGAAATATATTGAATGTTTTATTATAAAATTTAGACATAACGCTTCTTAACAACAAAGGGCAAACAGCTGTCGATTTGGGTCTAGAGCGTGGGCTAACTCGAGAGCAAATTAATCAATTCTTAGGTTTGACCTGAATGTGTACGTTAATTTTTATTGGACAGCACCCTTGGTCTCGTGACAAAGTGACAACCAACAACATCGTGAACGTCGCATAGCCTAGCCAAAAAAAGAAGCCGTCACATAACCCAGTCAAGAAAAACGTCGTTGCACGATCCAGTCTAGAGATGTACTTCGCGTGAGATAAATCCTGGCATACATTTCACACATCTCGGCGTGATTTCGCGCGAGTCATCAGTCATATGATAATCCCTTTAGAATATTAAAAATTTTAAAATTTATAGGAAAAGCGTAAGACCTTTTTTTTTATATATAATATATATATATATATATAATAGTTAATAAAAATTTTTACATTTCGTTTTTATTTTTAATTTGTATTTATTTGCTTATTAATAATGTATGTAAAAAGGATATAGTCTAATTAATCATTTTATTAAAAAACTTTTTATTTTTGTGATATATCACCATGTTTAAAATTCAGTGTTCTGATTCTCAAAGAAATTTTAATTTTTTAAAAAACATTAATATTCAAAATAAGGTTCTCTTATTTGAGAACATTTTATTCCTTCAAAATGTTCTAAAAAAATATATATATTTGATATAATTTAATAATGAACTAATGCTCCGAAAGGGTCATTCAGGTCGACTTGAACCCAACTTGAGTAAATTTGGTCGTATTTTAATATCTATAGATTTGTATTATGTACTGTATAATTCTATTGTCATAAAATTATTTTATAAAATTAAGTAATACAATAATAATTTTTTTAATTTGACTCAAGTTGGCGTAAAGAGTCTTGATGTCGGGTTTTTAATTTGGGTTACCAAAATTAACTCAACCCTTTAGGAGTATTATAATGAACATTAAAAATTTTTTGAAAACATTAATAGTTTAAATTAAGCTTTTCTGAGAATCACTGATCATTAAATGTTTCTTAATCGACTAATTTATTTCGCGAAGTCAAATGTGATAGTTCTATTATCTCGTCTATTGCCTCGTGCAAGCTATATCAAAAAAATATATATATATATTTGGTTGCGTAACCTAGTTAAAAATAAAATGCAGTCAGGAAGATTGTCATTGCATAATTCAGTGGCATCAAAAAAAAGTTGCATACCGAAAACAAAAAATTTTTAAACATTGCTGTACCTGAACGCATCTTGAAATAAACGATCAACGATGAAAAAAAAACACAAGATATTTGATATTAGGAGTAAGATTTACGTTATCTTTATGCCCGTAACGTTGATAACATAGCCTGATTTGGTGAACAATTGGATGTTGCATGAATAATCTTTATATATTCCCTGCGTGGCAATTTTATACCAATTGTAAGTCACAAAAACCAATTGTAAGTCACAAAAACGAATTGTTAAAATTTGTGAAAAAAAAAAAAAATCTAAATATAAGATACTTTTTAAAAAAATAATTTCATTCTATATATATATAGATAAAATAATTCAATAAATGGCAAGATAGTTAGGCCGAGGTATTTACTTTAAAACATGTTTATACTGTACAAAACTCTTATCATGCATACAACTTTGCGCTATAATTATAACTAGAGTGCTTTTATTCTAAAACTA